TTTTTGTTTGTGTCAAACTGAAACTTTTTTTCCAATAATAAACGGTTAGCTGATTCACGTCTACAGACAAGTTAATAAAATTAATTGAAAACTTGTATCAACCAAAGCATTGTTTATATTTGCTCAACAATGATTTTATTCAACTAACAATAGTGTCCACTCAATGTAGTCGTTTTGTAATTATTAACAAATATACATTTGTCCCAACTAGAAGGCTCAAGTAAATTGCAGACTTTCGTGAACTAGATATTTATTTCGCCATATCCAACTATGCCACTTGGTCACTATAACCAAATCTTGGTTATTATAACTAAACCTTTTTCTGAGTGTGTAAGGGGCAATGCTTCTGATGAATAATTTGTCTTTGTATTCTTACATACAAGTAATTACTAAGTAATTTGACTAAGTAACTATGTTACATATGTATGTATAAATGAGAATATAATATTTATAAAAATCATTATTTTGTCTTTCATTTCATAAATGAGTAGGACATCGGCATTTTCAAATGAATATTCCTGGTTTAGCCCCTATACATACATATGTATGTATGTAGGATAATACAAACTACTATTTGATAATTAAGGCTGGTCCACACAGAACTTTCGCGTTGACTTTGTAGTTGGCGTTGGTTTGACAGAACGCAAGTTAAAAGTATGCGTTCTACAATGAAGCTTGGCAGAGACTACTTTGGCCACTAAATTAACATATTAACGAGAGATACATTAATATTTCATATCAATAATTCCATGAAAAATTATATTTCTTGCCTTCATTTGATTAAAAGTAAAAAACATTTCATTTAATTTTATTTATTTGCAACAGCTGGCGACCGACGCAGCGATCGTTCTGCTTTATGGTGGCCTTAGCGTTGCCAAATTTTGGAAATGTGGACGGCTGCTTTGGAATTCGACGCCAACGCAACGCCAAAGTTAGTATGCGAACCGGTCTCTATTCTTTGTTTACGTAAATTTTCCCATGTCTACATATCCATATATACATGTCCTTGAACAACAGGCCACAAATAAATTTTTTCACCAAGGACTATATTTCATTCAGGTATACAGCATAAGTGCTACAAGTAGCAAACTATTTTGGGGGTGTTAACAAGTGCTTACTTGTTTTTTGTTTCTGCGGCACAAACGATTATAATATCTTCGTTACTTACTTTTCTCTGTAAAGACAAAATACATACATATGTACATACATACATAAATGCATATATACATAAATACGTACATACAAACATATATAAATATGCATGTTATGTGTGTACACATGTATGAATATACATAACTCTAAAAATAATTCATTCCATAATCTATGCTTATGTATGTAATCAATTTTATTTGTTGTTTTAAATGCTGCCCTAATATAACACTTTACATACATATATATATATGCATATGTACATACAATTATTAACTACTTTCGTACATAATCTATTGACATACATTCCCACATTTTTATGCCCAAAAATGCATGTGTTGTATAGTACACTCGGAGCGCTCGCTCGTCGCTCACTCGTCCTTCCTAGCAGAGTGAGTATGTAGACAGCTACTCGCCTCGCACTGCGAGCGAGGCAACACACAACAGCCTCGCTCGTTTAATAGGAGTGTTAGCAAACAAGCAGCGCTCGCTCGTTTGGCGAGCGAGCCAAACTTCTCGTGCCTCGCCTCATTGCTGCTACGAGTACGAGATGCAAGCGCCTCGTTGTCTGCGAGGCATTGAGTAGGAGTTTGCTCGCTCGCTCGCTCGAACTCCGAGTTTTTGCCCACCCTGCTTTTTGTATTTCAGCGACGATGTTTGTTACGTCTTTTTGCATTTCAGGTGACGATATGTAACAAAGAGCAAATCACGACAAATTGGTTTAAAATTACAGTGCACACTTTCTTCTTTTATGTCTAGAAGTTTTTTTAAGACTGATCCAAAAGAATCATAATAAAGAAAGAAATGCAGGTATTTAAAGGAGAGAAAACAAAAAAATATATTATTAAAAGGACTATGTTCTCTTTGACGTACGTCAAAGGCCAAGTAGAAGTGGGAACTTGTATAACTGCTCGATTATATAGCTTAAGAAATAATAAGTTTAAAGACATTTTTATCAAAGTTGATAAATATGATATTTGACCAGTTTTGTTACACAAATACGCCAACGACCACAGGCAACAAATATTGGCTGCAATTTGTCATTTTGTTTGACAGATATACGTTTTATCAGTGCACTTGCACAACATACGCATTCGCAAAAGCTCCGCATTGATTATTGCGAATGCGAATGCGTATGTTAAAATTAATTCGGAAGCTCCGCGGTTGTGATTGCGAATGCGAATATTCGCAACAACCCTGTTATGTACATAGGTACCCAGTGCGAAAAGTAGTAATGCATTACATGCGTGATAATTAATGTTATGTATTTCTTATGAGTTCTAGATTCCATTTATGTTTACTATGTAATCAGCATTCTAATGTATCCAAAAAGTCCCAAAAAATTCATATTAAATCACATTCATTCCTCGATACTAGGTAATGCAAAATTGAATGTCGCACTTTTCCTAGGAATATGAAAAGGGCTGTTTTACTGATCATTTTTTCGATTACTATAGTAATAATAATTTCCTTGAGCAAATAATCGCTCTGTTAATGGTATTTAACAAAATAACAATATTGCAAAGTGTAGAGTTAATAGTTGCATTATTGGATTAAGGTGTGAAGCATAACGATTTAAACCAATAAGCAGACAGTGGCTTCGTCCAAATATAAACCAGTAAGAAAGTCTAATGGGTCGATTACGGATAGCAACGCAACCATGGTTCGGTTGCCAGCTGGCAACGCAACTGGAAAGAAAATTTGTATTACGAATGGCAACTATCGTCAGTTGCTGTAGAGTTATCGATAACCGAAATTTGACAGTTCGACAACCAGCAAGCGGCTGTACACAAGCTGTGCGAGTAAAATTAAATTATTAAAATAAAGAGTTTTAAAGAAAAGACAGCAATAAAGCTAAGTTCATCACAATTATTTCTTTAAGAGGAGGAAAAGTGCATGACCGCAGCCTCAACCAGGCGTCATTCTAATCCTCTAGAGCTACAGCGTGCACTGTAAGCAAAAGTTAGTGCTTTCCAGGTTTTTATGTTATTACCCTTTTGTGTTCATTTTCAAAGCATATTGAGGACTTCCAGAAAAAGCTGTAGTATAATTGGTTAATAAACAAATGAACTACTTCGTTCAACTTCAATACCTTCGCTCATAAAAGCTTTCGCTCCTCTTCAATTTTTCGCAGAAGGAAATGCCACAGCAATGGCTTCAATTTGGAAAACTTAGTGTGTCGGTAGTTTTAAGAGGTGCTTCAGTTGATGAAGGCTCAAATTTGCAATCAGTGTTCGCTTTTGTTTCGCCAAGAGGGCGTACTCCATGGGAACTAAAATTTCAAGTTATTGTTCTGTTATTTTCATAATATTCTGTAAAAGCAAACTGCATTGCAAAATGTTAATATCGTTCAAATTATTAAAAAGTAAAATATATGAAACACTTTTCAATTTTCGCTCCTAAATACGCTCCAGAGACATTGCCAGCAACTATAAAAATGTAGTCACCTCTATACACATTTTTTAGCAACTGTAGTTGTCAGTTGAAAGTTGTCAGTTGCTTCTGTAATATCGTTTTAGCAACTAGCAACGCAACTGAGGTTCGATTGCTATCGATAATCGACCCATAAGTTCGGGCGGAGTCGAACATTAAATACCCGGCGCAAGTATTAAATATTTATACGCTTCTCACCTTTCCGAAAACTACCGCTACTTGGTGATATTTTAAACGTCTTCGATAGAACGTTCAGTTAGACGTAATGAGATAAACTTATATAGTCATATGTGGGCGGTATCTAGGCCATTTTCCAAAATTCCAAATAATGTTACTTTTCAAGGGATTGTTGTTTCGAAATATTGAAGTTTCAAGCATATCTGAAATTTACTGTTATATGAAAAGCGGCCGTAATTTTAGTCCGATTTCAATAATTTTCAACCTTATGCTATCGTGTGGATGGCGCAATAACCATACGGTGCCACGCCCATTTTCCAAAATTTTACCATAAATGCATTTACTGGTAAAGAATTGTTGCAAGCATCAATTTCGATTAGATTAGCTTTAATATTTACTGATTTATCGAGTATTTCGTATTTCTCTAAATTACCGTTATATGGGATGTAGGCGTGGTTATTGTCCGATTTTAAAAATTTTCGGCCATTTGGTATGTTGTACCAAGGCCAACAACTGTGCCAAGTTGCAAAAATTTATAATATTCTTATTTTCTAAAAATTATTGTAAATATCAATTTTGAGTGAATTATCTTCAGTAGTTACTAAAATATTGCAGTTTGCTACGTACATACATACATACATCCATACGTATGTATGTTGTACATATCAGGGTTGTTGCGAATATTCGCGGAACTTCCGCATAAATTTTAACATTCGCATTCGCAATAATCAATGCCGAGCTTTTGCGAATGCGAATATTGTGCAAGTGCACTGATAAAACGTATATCTGGCAAACAAAAATTTTTAGCAAACATTTTTTTGCGTGTGGAGATGCTACGTTAAGACTGCCCCCTACGTAGACCTTCTTTCGTAATTTAAAGTCAAAGAGTAAGATAATAGTAGGTATTTCCAGCAGAAATGTTCAACGGCAGGCTATAAAGAGAGTCGACTACTTGCGCGTTAATAGATTACCTTTAATTAGGTAAGAATTATGTAACTATCGAATATTATTTGTCTGTTGAAAAAAGTGTAATTATTTTTTTCTCATAAAACTTATTATTCTTAAGTTCCGTGTTTCCGTTTATTAGTCTTTCAGTCTTTCAAAACCTGTTAGTAGACATGTTTAGAATCGAGTCAACCACTTAGCTGAATATTTCCACACATTTCGAAATTAAGACTTTCCGCCACCCTCAGATCACTGTGCGACGTTTCATCAGTCACACTATTATTTAATCAGCTTTAAAGTACTCTCAGTGGCAAACTGATCTTCCAATAAACAAGTGTAGATTTTGTTTTCGCTTCGCTGTGTTTCTGTATACCCGCTTATTGTTTATCTGCTCGTTCGCGCGCAGCTGTGTGTCATAAATACTTACATATATCATCACATTAATTCGAAGATCTTAGTTTTATTATAAATTCGGAAGCAATGCTCCGCCGGCATCATTGTGTATTTTTCATTTATTTAATGATTATTAACGCATCAGCATTAGAACGTTATGAACCGAATTGGGATAGTCTCGATAAGCGTCCATTGCCCAGCTGGTATGATAAGGCAAAAATTGGCATTTTCATTCATTGGGGTGTATATTCAGTGCCCAGCTTTGGTTCCGAATGGTTTTGGACCGACTGGATAAGTGAGTGCTTAGGAAGTTGCATACATCTTTACTAGTATGCTCTACATACAATTGTGTACTTTTATTTTCAGATTTACGATATCCCAATTATTTAAGCTTTATGAAAAACAATTACAAGCCAAACTTCTCTTATCAAGAATTTGCTCACGAATTCACAGCTGAATTATTCAACGCTACAAAATGGGCTCTTCTTTTTCGCGACAGTGGAGCGAAGTGAGTATTTTTTTATATTTCTCAAAAAAAAAATTCTGAGGAGGTTTTAAAAAATATTAACGTTTTTTAGATATCAGAAAGAAAATAATGATAAGGTTTTGTATTAGCCAAAAATTTTGAATTTGCGTACATACAGCGCTTACAAATAAACGCCCAAAATTTTTATTTATTTTACCAAGACTTTTTGGTCCAACATTTTCACCAACAATTCACGTTTACGATTTTGGTTGGCACATTCTGCTAAGATTATGGTTTGGTGGTCATTTGCCGCTTTAAAT